GAGGGCGCCGTTTAGGAAACTAGATGATACCCCGCGCGTTGCTGCGGGATACTATAGTTCACTTATGTGTGGAGTTAGTGTTGATACACATTGCATGACTCCATGAAAAAATAGAAGCCCCTGGTAACATTTTATTAAATAAAACTAACAAAGTCTCATCAGTCATTCCATCATCAGTACATTGCACTGCTAGGGTAGTACAATTAGAAGTGGGGCCAGAAGGAAGAAACCGGAGTGTCCCCTGTCCAACTTTCTTGTATTAATGTGTAACAAAGGAAGGACAGAAGCAATATAAGCAAGCATCCTCGGTTTTATTTATAACATTTCAGTCAACATTACATGCCTTCAAGGTCTGCAAATAAGATGGTTCCACTTTGAAGACATGCCAACATTGGACAGAACATAATAAAACATAAAATCAAAATTATTCCAAACACGCAAACATAAAAGAGGTGTGTAGCCTTTTATTGATGGAAATTATTAAAAAAACTTGACCGTCGGGAAAATAAGAAGGAACCCAAAGGCATGCCTTTTTTATGCAAGGGAAGGACCCAAAAGCTGGCTCCATTGCCCGCAATGGCGCAATTGCAAACTCAGTGTGGCACCCTTTTTGTGAGAATCAAGGTTGTAGCCTTTACACTTACATGACTTCCCGCCATGCTAGAAGCACTTCTTTCAAATACTGAAAAGAGTATAAGATTTGAAAATAAGTGAGGCTCCTACTTCAAGTTTTAACAAAAAACTATAATTAATATATCCGGGGGGATTCAAAGGCATATTTTGCATTTAATAGAGGGGAAGATCACATGCCAGACAACTAAAGTATCAATGATTGTCAATTCCGTAAGTAACACACAATCAAATATCCGCAGAGAAAACTAAGAAAATGACTCTACAATCAAGTGTTAGATTAAAACCAAACATGGAAACCATACTTGCCTCATTGTTTAATGGTAACACTTATGGTCGTCGTCATTGTACAGCTTTCAGCGGTTCCCAGTAGTGTTGAATGAACATGACCTGGAAATTACCTTTAAACAAATAATTACTTCAAGGAGAATAAGTACATGCATTAGAAGGAAAGTCAGTATACACACACATATATATATATGCTATCAATACATTTCGACAGTCACAACTGAAAGGTTTTTTTGTGCATATTCAAAAAGCGCCAATCACATGAAACAAAATCAACCAAGCTACAACAGAAACTTCATACCGGAATTGGCTAAAGCACATCAAATGGAACAGACCCTTAAATATAATAAATTCCAAATGTAGGGAAATAATGAATATCCGCGCTGGCTTTTTTTTCATCTGATCCTTTTCCCTTGACTTTTCATCTGACATTTTTCCTCTGATCAAATGAAAGAATGGCTGCCTTTTTTTCAAAAAAAGAAAGAAAGAACATGAATGTTTATTACGGACCGATGCCAAAGCCTTGTGCATCAAAAGGGTGAGATCAAAAACATGGAAGAACACTCGTGCATCAAAAGGGTGAGATC